CCCCTGCTTGTGTTCCCTCTCTCGTTGTGTCTCTCTCTATCAAATAAATAAATAAAATCTTTAAAAAAAAAAAAAAAGACTGAGGAATTAGGATTCAAACTTCATGGCAATGCCTGTAGAATCAAAGACCTGATCCTAGGCCAGTGACAGCTGTAGCAAAGATGTTGATTTAGTTGGGAAGGACAATATAACAGGACTGCCGAAGACCAAAAGCCTCTGTTGATGGGCAACCCACCCAGGGTATAATCAACACAATATGCTAGAAGATCATTTGAGATGTGTGTAGCTAAAAATAATGGTGAAATGATAGGCTGGGGCCAGACTATGAAGGGTGGTATATACAGAGTTAGAAATATTGAATTTTATTCTGTTGCAATGGGAGACCATCAAGAGATTGTAGGTAACAAAATGACATGATTTCGACCAGGAGTCAGCAAACAAACTGCTCAAGGCCCGAATCTGGCACACTACCTATATTCTTCTAAATAAAGAGTCATTGGAACATAGCCACAACACTCTTTATATGTTATGTATGGCTGCTTTTGCTCTACAACATTAGAGGTGAATAGTTGCAATAGACACCAAGACTACATTACTCACAAAATCTGGCCCTTTAAGAAAACATGTGCTGATCCCTAATACAGATTAGTGCCTTAGAAAGAATTCCAGCGGCAGAAGGCAGAAAGTTAGACTAAGGCAAGGAAACAGCTTATGAGGTTCATCACTTGTGAACGTTTTCAGCATTTCAGTGACTAAGGGTGGGGCTAGTAAAAAACTTCTTTGAGAATGAAAATCTGTATTCTTACTGAACATAGCCATACCTTGTAAAATCTAGGGCTGAAAGAATTCTGAATCACAACTTATAAATTATCTTCCCAAGAAGGATAGGTATCAAACTGCTTGGAGTATACAGTTGTCTTTGTGTGGGTTAGAATATGAAGATGTTTAGGCTGTTTGGGTTTTGTTTGTTTGTTGTTTTAGTTTTGTCTATCACAGCACTTGTTTTCTGGAATTATATATTCTTAGAAGCCCTTCTTCCCCACCTCCCTTCAGTCATTCATCACAATAACAAATTTACTGAACGCTTACTGTGTGCTTCCCAGTAGAGAATACACCACAAGAAAGGACAAAAATCCATGTCCCTGTGAGTGTACACTCCAGTGGAAAGAGACAAAATGAAAAAGTAAATTATATGGTATATTAGATGGTGATAAATGTCATGTAGAAGGAAATAAAACAAGAGAATAAGAAGTATAGTTGGTGTACAAAGGAGGGAAGAAAAGGAAAACAGCAAAGTCATGTTGGGCCTTGTAGACCTGTGCAAGAATTTTGGCTTTTACCCTGGGTGAGGTGGAAAAGCGTTGCAAGATTTTGAGCCACAAAGTGACATTATCTGATATATTTTTAAACCCTCACTGTGGCTGCTGTGTGAACAGACCAAGGGGGCAAGGATAATTACAGAGAGACTACTTAAGGAAGCTACTGGAAAATCCAGGTGAGAGATGATGGTGGCTTCAACTAAGATAATAAGGGTGGAAGTGGTCAACAAGTGGTCAAATTCTGGGAATAGTTTGATGGTAGATCTGAAGGGTCTTCCTGATGGATTGAGCATGAGGTGTGAGAGAGGAGTTAACAGTTACTCAAAGCTTTCTGGCCAGAGAAAGCTGGAAGTATGATGTATTGTTAAATAGAATAGAGATGACAGCTATGGGGGCTGGGAAATCAGAGGCTCAAATTGGGATATTTTAATTTGAAATGTTGATGGATACCCAAATAGAGGGTAGAATAGGCAGCTGGATATACAAATCCAGAGTTCAAGGAAAATGTCCAGACTGAATGAATGAATGAATAAATAAATAAATAAATAAATAAATAAATAAATAAATAAATTCACAGCATATACATGGTTTTTTAAATGCTATTGGACTCAATATGATCATGGAGAAAGAGAATAGAAATGAATGAAGAGAAGAGGCCAGAGTCCTGGGCACGCCAATATTAAAGGTCAGGTTGATGAGGAAGACCCAGCAATAAGAGACGGAGAATGGATCTCCATTGATAAAAAGAAAATCAAGAGAGTGTGGAGGATGTTTTTGATCAACTGTATTGTCTAGGTTTTCTGTAATGAGCATGTAAGGCTTTAAAGGATTTTTAAAACATAAAGAATCCTTATTTTTTTAAAAAAAAGGATATTTGTCCCATTCCCTTATTACCACAACCCAGGCCAGCGACGAAAGATATATTTTTAGAGAAAATGCACTTTCCATCTTCTTAGATAAATCAAAAGGATCCAGTATTTATCCTTAGAGCAAAAACAAATATATCAAGCCAAATATTTTAAATACTTATTTAAACCGCTAGAACTCTTTTGTTCCCTAAGACTATGTGTTAGATTTATTGGTTTGAAATCTCCCCACGACCGCAGTAATAAATAAGTAAATGCTCTGGTCTGAGTCTTCTATTTAAAGTTAGACTTCTGAGTGTTTTTTAGTTAATTACAATCAGCAGTTCCCCATAAAACTTGAGAACAGAGCTGAAGAGAATGCCAGCTTCCAGGGCCCTACCATGAGGTTTTATTTGATGTCCTCTATTATTCAAAGGGAATTTGTTTATAAAAGGAGGGATCCAAACCATCAGAAGCAACAAACAAATGCCCTGCATGGCTGAGTCTATCAGTTATTGATTCATGAATCATTTAGAAAACTCCTTTGAAGATCCTCAGGCATCACAAATTTTGTTCAGTTCTGCTTTGCTATTTGCACCAGAAATCATGGTCTCGTGAATGGAAAATGAAGAAAATGTTCTCTGGACTGTTTAAAACACACACGCAACTAGATCCATGAGGCAAGACTGAAGTAACAGCAGCCATTTTGTGTGACGGTTTGAGAATCCTATCTATTTTAGGTTTATGCATTGTGTAATCACCACAGCACCGCATCACTGATTTAGAAGATGTTAAATAACATGAAACCGTGACAACCAGCAGCTTGGTGTGAGAACAAAACCTCTAAAGAGACTGTAAATGGTAACATGGCTGCTTACATCCCCAACCATCTGGAGTAGAATTTATCAATTCTTCACTAAACCATCATAAAATGTGGCCTCTAGTTAGGATTATTGGGGAATTCAAGCTCCTTCCACATGAAGCTAAGCATGTATAATGTAGAAACATTCATAATGCGTGTCTCCCTGGGTGAAGCCTGGCATCTGAAATCCTGTCCGGTACTGGGGATAACCCAGTCCTCCAGGAAGTAAGGACAGCCCCAATATCCACAAACTTCTCCCCAGAGGTCCATAGCAACTGGGGTAGTCATATCCAAATGGCAGGCTTCTGCCCACTAGTAATCTGGTATTTTCCTCTCAGAAGAGATAAGAAAACTTTTGATTATCAACAGAAAGCAAAGGATTTTCATTCTCATGGTTTATTCAATAGCAATTTGAAGTTATTGATTCAGTGTACATTATGAAACTTATTTTTTTAATTATACAATTACTGGATCTACTTACAGTTCTACGATAAAAAGAAGCCTTCAAATTATATGCAACTTCCTGAAGATCTTTCCACTAAAAATAAAGATTTTACCTACTAGTTAGTGCCAATCAAAAAAAAAACTTTTTTAAGTCTCTCATGCTCAGGGTTAAAAGAGCCAACCTTTGCTACTTATAGTATAATCGACTTGTCAATTTCTTTCGCTTTCTTCTTTGTCAGTCCAGATGATAGCCATTCTCTTTCTTCCAGTTCAGTTTAAAGTTCTTGTCCTCTTAGAACCACACTGTGAAGGCTCCATCTGTATAACCTTCCATTCTGATACTCCCACACCCTCAATGTGCCAGTGCTCCCATTCCCAACGACCAAACATGGAGGTCTCTACCTTATATTTTCTCCCAGCTTTCACCTCCCTTCCTGTTTCACTTCATTGCCTTACCTGCTAGATCCATCTTTTGGATTATTCTTTTGCCATTGTCCACAACCCCCTAAACCTCTGCTCTAACCTCACAGCAAAACTCCAACCCTGGGTAACCCAAATGGTCACTCTCCCTGCACTCACATACAGGCCACTGAATACTTCCAGAGAACAGTCCTGTTTCCTATTCATATCAAACTATTTATGATTTCTTGTTATGTTTTTTTCAGGACCTATAATTTACCACATATTATTCCTCCTACCTGAGACCCATTTTTCTTCCCCTATTTTTTGCTAACCCTACTCCTAGGTCAAGACTTGCTCCGGAATGCAGCCTTGGGGAAGCAGCTCTTGGCTCTATACATTGTAAGAAGAGGCAGTCCAGTTAGATGTTAAAGATAGAAGGAAAGTAGAGGAAATTATGGATCAAATGCGAGACGATCTGGGGAAGAGTGGGATCTACAATTAGAGAGTAATTGTCTTTGAAATCAGGGATACTGCTACCTTTGTAAGAGCATCCTTGGGTGATTTTGGTAATCAACAAGATTTGAGTATACTTGCCTAGTGTACATTTTATAGTACCTGGTACAAAACAGTTTTCCCCTTTGAAACAGAGGAGAGTCAGATATGGAGGAAATGAGTGCCTCGTTAACATTGTAAATGGAGGGCAGAAAGTTGCAAAGTTTATAGCTGTAATACTTGATTTTATTTAATATGATTTCTGAAGGAAGAGAAGGAGGAAGGTAGAGGAAGAGACTAGACTGGCAAATTCTTAAATGATAAGAATGAATTCAACTGGTCAAAGATTCCACAGTTTCTTTGGACAGTGATCCTTACACAAAACAGGGTCCTTGCTTTTCCTATGAAATAAAGTTTGAGTTCTAGTAAAGATTTCTTCTTTACAAAATGCATCCCTTAAGTTTCTTGTCTATGTATTTATTGGTTTAGTTGTTCTGCAAGAATTCTTTAAGCTCTATTGTGTCTATGACAGATCTCTAAAGTCACATATACCTGTATAAACTGGAAGAATAGCAGAGACCAGCAGCTCACTGTTAAGGCTCCCCGTTGGTACCAATTATTTGGAAATTAGTTTCTAGCTTTGCGCAGTGGCAGCATCGTAGCCAATGAGGTTTATCCGAGGCACGATTATTGCTAATTGGAAATTAGTTTCTGCAGATATATCCTTAAATAGTGCCATTTTTTTAAATTTTATTATGTTATGTTCGTCACCATACAATACATCATTAGTTTTTGATGTGGTGATCCACGATCCATTGTTTTCATATAACACCCAGTGCTCCATGCAGTACGTGCCCTCCTTAATACCCTCCATGGGCTAACCAATCCCCCCTCCCACCTCCCCTCTAAAACCCTGTTTGTTTCTCAGAGTCCATAGTCTCTCATGGCTCATCTCTCCCTCCAATTCCACCCCCCCTCATTTTTCCCTTCCTTCTCCTAATGTCCTCCATGCTGTTCCTTATGTTCCACAGATAAGTGAAACCATATGATAATTGACTTTCTCTGCTTGCCTTATTTCACTTAGCATACTCTCCTCCAGTCCCATCCATGTTGATGTAAAAGTTGGGTATTCATCCTTTCTGATGGCTGAGTAATAGTCCACTGTATATATGGACCACATCTTCTTTATCCATTCATCTGTTGAAGGGCATCTCAGCTCTTTCCACAGTTTGGCTATTGTGGACATTGCTGCTATGAACATTGGGGTGCAAATGGCCCTTCTTTTCACTACATCTGTGTCTTTGGGGTAAATACCCAGTAGTGCAATTGCTGGGTCATAGGGTAGCTCTATTTTTAAATTTTTGAGGAGTCTCCACACTGTTTTCCAAAGTGGCTGTACCAACTTGCATTCCCACCAACAGTGTAAGAGGGTTCCCCTTTCTCCACAACCTCTCCAACATTTGTTGTTTCTTTCCCTGTCCATTTTTGCCATTCTAACTGGTGTAAGGTGGTATCTCAATGTGGTTTTGATTTGAATGTCCCTGATGGCTAATGATGATGAACATTTTTTCATGTGTCTGTTAGCCATTTGTATGTCTTCTTCAGAGAAGTGTCTTTTCATATCTTCTGCCCACTTTTTGACTTATTTGTTTTTTGGGTGTTGAGTTTGAGAAGTTCTTTATAGATCTTGGATACCAGCCCTTTATCTGTAGTGTCTTTGCAAATATCTTCTCCCATTCTGTGGGTGGCCTCTTTGTTTTGTTGACTGTTTCCTTTGCTGTGCAGAAGCTTTTTATCTTGATGGAGTCCCAAAAGTTCATTTTTGCTTTTGTTTCACTAGCTTTTGGAGAAGTATCTTGAAAGAAGTTGCTGTGGGCAATGTCAAAGAGGTTACTGCCTATGTTCTCCTCTAGGATTTTGATGGATTCCTGTCACACTGAGGTCTTTCATCCACTTTGAGTTTATCTTTGTGAATGGTGTTAGAGCATGGTCGAGTTTCATTCTTCTGCATGTGGCTGTCCAATTTTCCCAGCACCATTTATTGAAGAGACTGTCTTTTTTCCATTGCATGTTTTTTCTGCTTTGTCAAAGATTATTTGACAATAGAGTTGAGGGTCCATATCTGGGTTCCCTATTCTGTTTCATTGGTCTATATGTCTGTTTTTGTGCCAGTACCATGCTGTCTTGGTGATCACCGCTTTGTAATATAGCTTGAAATCAGACAACGTGATGCCCCCAGCTTTGTTTTTCTTTTTCAACATTTCCTTGGCGATTCGGGGTCTTTCCTGATTCCATACAAATTTTAGGATTGTTTGTTCCAGCACTTTGAAAAATGTCATTGGAATTTTGATCAGGATGGCATTGAAGGTATAGATTGCTCTGGGTAGCATAGACATTTTAACAATGTTTATTCTTCCAACCCATGAGCATGGAATATTCTTCCATCTTTTTGAGTCTTCTTCAATTTCTTTCATGAGTGTTTTGTAGTTCCTAGAGTATAGATCCTTTACCTCTTTGGTTAGGTTTATTCCGAGGTATCTTATGGTTTTTGGTGCTTTTGGAAATGGAATCATTTCTCTAATTTCTCTTTCTACAGTTGTGTTGTTAGTGTATAAGAAAGCAACTGATTTCTGTGCATTGATTTTGTATCCTGCCACATTACTGAATTGCTGGATGAGTTCTAGTAATTTGGGGGTGGAGTCTTTTGGGTTTTCCACATAAAGTATCATGTCCTCTGTGAAAAGAGAGAGTTTGACTTCTTCTTTGCCAATTTGAATACCTTTTATTTCTTTTTGTTGTCTGATGGCTGTTGCTAGGACTTCTAGTACTATGTTGAACAATAGTGGTGAGAGTGGGCATCCTTGACGTGTTCCTGATCTTAAGGGAAAGGCTCTCAGCTTTTCCCCACTGAGGATGATATTCGCTGTGGGTTTTTCATAGATGGATTTTATGAACTTGAGGAATGTTCCCTCTATTCCTACACTCTGAAGAGTTTTAATCAGGAAAGGATGTTGTGTTTTGTCAAATGCTTTTTCTGCATCGAGAGGACCATATCGTTCTTCTCCCTCCTCTTATTAATGTGTTCTATCACATTGATTGATTTGTGAATGTTGAACCACCCTTGCATCTCAGGGATAAATCCCACTTGGTTGTGGTGGATGATCCTTTTAATGTATTGTTGGATCCTATTAGCTAGGATTTTGTTGAGGATTTTGGAATCCATATCCATCAGGGATATCGGTCTGAAATTCTCCCTCTTTGCCTGGTTTGGGGATTAAGGTAATGCTGGCCTCATAGAATGAGTTTGGAAGTTTTCCTTCTGTTTCTATTTTTTTGAAACAGCTTCAGTAGAATAGGTATTATTTCTTCTTTGAATGTTTGGTAGATTTCCCCAGGGAATCCATCAGGCCCTGGACTCTTGTTTTTTGGCAGGTTTTTGATCACTGCTTCAATCTCGTTACTGGTTATTGGCCTATTCAGGTTGTCAATTTCTTCCTGTTTCAGTTTTGGCAGCTTATAGGTTTCTAGGAAGGCCTCCATTTCATCCAGATTGCTCAGTTTATTGGCATATAGTTGATAATAATTTCTAATAATTGTTTCTATTTCCTTGGTGTTAGTCGTGATCTCTCCCCTTTCATTCATAATTCTATTAATTTGGGTCCTTTCTGTTTTTTCTTTTGGATAAGTCTGGCCAGTGGTTTATCGACCTTATTAATTCTTTCAAAGAACCAACTTCTAGTTTCGTTGATCTGATCTACTGTGTTTCTGGTTTCTAATTCATTGATCTCTGCTTTAATTTTAATTATTTCTCTAAAATCTAATTTGTCTGATATTAAGAATTGCTACCCCAGCTTTCTTTTGAGGTCTGCTGGCATGGAAGATGGATCTCCATCCCTTCACTTTCAGTCTGGATGTATCTTTAGGTTCAAAAGGAGTCTCTTGTAGGCAGCATATGGATGGGTCTTTTTATCCAAACTGCAACCCTGTGCCATTTTATGGGAGCATTTAGGCCATTCACGTTGAGAGTGATTTTTGAAAGATATGAATTAATTGTCATCATGTTGCCTGTGAAGACGTTGTTTTTATAGATTGTCCCTGTAAATTTCTGTTGTATATCACTCTTGGGGTCTTTCTCCTTTTATAGAACCCCCCTTAATATTTCTTGCAGGGCCGGCTTAGTGCTCACATATTCTTTCAGTTTCTGCCAGTCGTGGAAGCTCTGCATCTCTCCATCCATTCTAAATGAAAGCCTTGCTGGATAAAGTATTCTTGGCTGCATGTTCTTCTCATTTAGTACCCTGAATATGTCTTGCCAGGCCTTTCTGGCTTGCCAGGTCTCTGTGCATAGGTCTGACATTATTCTGATGTTCCTCCCTCTATACGTAAGGAATCTCTTCCCCCTAACTGCCCTTAAGATGGTTTCCTTGGTTCTAAGATTTGCAAGTTTTACTATTACATGCCAGGGTGTTGGCCTGTTTTCCTTGATCTTGGGAGGGGTCCTTTCTGCCTCTAGGACACGAATGTTTGTTTCATTCCCCAGATTAGGGAAGTTCTCAGCTACGATTTGCTCAAATACATCTTCTACTCCTCTCTCTCTCTCCACTCCCTCCGGGATTCCAATTATTCTGACATTGGAACACTTCATGGTGTCACTTATCTCTCTGATTCTATTTTCATGGATTCTGAGTTGTTTCTCCCTGGCCTCCTCTTTCCCCTTTTTATCTATTATATTGTCTTCCAGGTCGCTTATTCATTCTTCTGCCTCACTTACCCTAGCTGTTAGATTATCTAGATTGGATTGGATCTCATTGATAGCATTTTTAAGTTCTGCCAATTCAGCTTTCATTTCTGCCCTTAGAGACTCTATGTTGCCATTAATTGATTTCTCCATTCTGGCTATTGTCTTCACAATTGCTAGCCTGAATTCCATCTCCGACATCTTGGTTACATCTGCATCCATTTGTAAATCTGCAGCATAAGCCATAATCTCTGAGTCTTTTCTATTTTGGGGGCTCCTCCTCCTAGTCATTCTGTTGATGGGTGTTTGAGGGAATGTATAGAGTCCAAATTATTGACCAGAACCCAGGCAAGATGCACCTGTTTTCTTGGGACCTTAGGGTTGCTGGCCTCTTGTTTTCCCAGCCTGTCTTCTGCGGGAGGGGCCTGCCTCGCTATTACTCAGGCAACCCTGTTTGGGCAGAGTTGCCCTGCCCCCTGTGGCGGGGGATGGGCTCAGCGGGAATCAGTTTTGGGGGCTTTTGTTCTCTGGCGGCTTTCCGCGTCTCTTCCGGGAGTCAGAGCAGAAGGGACCATTTCCAACCCTCTGCCTCAGAGCAGAGAGATCGCAGTCTGTTCTTCAGTGAGCTCTCCAGGCCACACCGTCTCCATTTCTGTTTGTGCTGCTATAAACTGCAGCATCCTGGGTTGTGTGCCCCTCTACAGCGCCCCCAGTCCTGCCTCCAGGTCGGAGCACGTCTCTGCCCTTTGTGCTTCTAAAACCGCCAGCCGCCCCCAGATCCCACGCGTGACCCTGCCGCTCCGGGTTTCCGCCCCGGGGTCTGACCTAAAGTCCTTTCCCCACCACTACCGGTCTGCGAGTCTGTGCCCCGTCCCCAGCACACAAGGCTGTCGCTCACCGGCGGTGTAGGATCCCCACGCCAGGCACGCTCCCGCTGCCAGTTATCCTCTGATATCTGCCCGTGGAATCACGGCTCCCCGCTTGGTACCTCGAAACCAACCGCCTGCGATATTCTGTTTGTAGAGGTCCAGATCTTC